ATAATTTTCAGGGTAAATTTCAAGAAAAAATTTTCGCCGTGTATTTAATAATTCCTTGTTTATCAAATCGGCATCGTCGAATCTTATCTCGAGATTATTTAATGAAAGCGCAAGGAAGACTCGAGGAAGTAATCTACGAGAACATAAAAAGTTATGGAACCCGAGATATCTTTTCGTATATATCGTGATTACCCCTGTCAGGATAAATTACGCAAGAAAATTCGAGCAAGAAGAGAAAAACGATTACATCGAGGTTTTTGAATACAAAATACCAGATTTAATGGAGCATGTCGTGTAAGAATAAAAACGACGATTTAAAATGTCGCCCTTAATCATGCGACGTAATAATTTCCCGAGATACCACTATATTTGCATGTGAAAGAAAGGTAATTTGAACGACGCGTTCTCGACTCGGTAGTCCTTTAGACGTATTAATAAAGTAGAGATGAGGGTACGCGGTTTTTACTTAACTGCAACATTAACGTCAGTTAATTCGCGCCATTCATAGAAATTTCGCGAGCGCACCGCATGGTTAAAATTTTAATGGATTTTTCTCATTGTATGTTTAATCGTTCTTTTACGATGCATAGCAAGAAAAAAGTGCGATTCTTCAAGAATATTTAATCTTATGTACAATGTGTATGATCATTTTGAAAACGAGCAGATTATAAAACTCTCATACATTTTAACCTCTTTTACTTTCAAAATTATTTTATGTTAAATTAATTATATATTCTCTCCCTTTCTCCCTCTCTTTCTACTTAAAATATTATATTGATTATATCGCTAAAAATACACATTTTAATTTAAGATAAAAATCTTTTTTGCTTTTTTTTCTTGCAAGGTGATTTGACAGATATATGCAAAAATAATTTGTATTATTCACGAACACAGGTTGGTCTCTTCATTATTTATTTATTTTGTGTTTTGATTTCCTCATAAAACAAATGACAAAGCTACTTATTGGTTCCATCTCTCTGATGAAAGGCAAAAGTAAGTAATATAAAGATTTAATGTCGGAACTTTTGTGTTTCGACACATATCAAGATAAAGTGATCGTATATTCTTATGGATAAAAATAGCTGTTTGTATTGAGGTATCCACTATCGCGAAAACAGTAAAAGTTGTTTCTTTAGGCGTTGTCACGTCTTTCCAAGCTATCATCCTTTACAGTTTTGTCTTGTCTTGTTTTCATTCGGTTTACTTTATTTGTTTTCTATCGTTTATTTATTATATATTGAAAACGCAGAATAACAAAGTTTAAAACAGATAATTTTAAATAAAACAAATAATTTCTTTATCTAATAAAAATTATAATTATAAACAAGATATTAAAAATAGGAATAGTATTTTATGTCAAGAATAAATGTAATGAAAGATAAAATTCACATATTACAAAAAAAAACAATACTGAAATATAAATAAAAAATATTTTGAAAGATAATATTTTTAGAATTTGCATTTCATGTTTTATATTTTATCAATATTTTTATCGGAAACGTAACAAAAAATAAAACTTAATAAAAACTGATGTTTATCAAGAAAAATTGATAGATGAAAAATGTATTTGTCACGTAAAGATATAAAGTATAACGCAATAAAATTTTTTTGACGGAAAAAATATCGGAGATATAAATTCATTTGTAAAATATTCTAGAAATTCCTATTAAGACGATCAGGCTATGTAAATAGTTAGAGAATAGTTCAATTGATTAAAATATCTTTTAATTAAACGCATACTTAAATCTCTCTTAATTAATCCCACAAAATTTGCACTAATTAAAAATCAGTAAAAATCAATAAAATTAAATCAAATAAATATATTAAAATATGCATAATATGCTTAAATGCATAATAAAAACTAAAATTCCTTATTATCATTAATGTTATTATAATCGCTTTTTTGTGTAATTTAGTTCTAATTTTAATTACATTCGTTAAAGAATGCAATACATATTAATATCCATTTATATAATTTATAAATTCAATATTTTAAATATTTAATACAATATTTAAAAAGTTTCATGAAGATCTGAATCAATGTAGCACTGTAAAGTATTACATATAACCAACAAAAGAATTCATGAATATTTATGGCACATTAGAAACACGTTGAAAAGCTCGTTCTTCCAACAATATTTTTTTTATTTGGATTGCATAACAAATGCAATTCACTTTGTAGGTAAGCACATTAAAAGCAAAGATATTCTACATACAATATTGCGTATCTATCCTGTTACTATAAGCCTCTTTGCTAATGTACGTAGCACACAAATGCATCGCGATTGCATCGCGCATACAAAATGGGGAAAGAATTATAGAGGAAAGACACGTCGAAACAATGCACGACCTATTTCGAGTTAATGTTCATCAAATATTTAAATGAATCTGTGTTTCTGTGTACTTTATATACCGTGGAGGATGTTTAATTGCGAATTGCAATTAATCGTCGAACGGCATGCCCGTGATCGTATTCTCGTTAAAAGCAAGCTTTAATTTGTCGATGACATTGTTCAGCGTAAAAAACTGGCAGGCTATAACGTTATTTTATCGCTTTAATCTGAGAACGAGAGCATATGCATCTCTCTTGAAATAGTAGTACAGATTTAACCATGGGTTAACCGGCCAGGAAGTTGTATTTCAGTATCCCGAATGCAGTTCTGCGGTAGTTAAATTTTTCCGTGCACGTTCCATGAACTTGCCGCGTGTTTTGATGAAGATTTAATCAACCCGTTCAAGATACACAAACAATTTTCTATATCCCGTAAGTGTTTAGAATCCGTCGCGGATCTTAAGGAAAAATATACTTAGGAAATCTATATTGTCATAATATAGATTTATTTTATAATTTTTCAAATATATAATTAATAAATATATAATATATATATATATATATATGTATATAAATATATACGTATATATAATTTAGTTATGTAAAGATCATTTTCTTTTAGAATTTTTCCGAAAATCATGATAATATGGTACTTATTGGAAGAATTTCTTTGATTAATATTTACAATGAAAAATATTAATATAATATGTACTAGTAAAATATAGCAAAAATTTACTATGTACGTACTAAAATAATTAATCAAATATATTTTATATCTTATTGTAGATATTAATATTTTTTATATGATATATTTTTATAATATTATTCATTATTATGATTTTCAGGATAAATTCTAAATTCTCTCGAGTATATTTTACATAAATACATACATATATATATATATATATATATATATATATTAATATAAATACGTATATATATAATATCTAAAATAATTTTATATATATTTACGCGAATCTGATTACAGATATGTATAATCGCAAATAATGCGATGAATAATTATAGAAAGTTCACATCATATTTGAATTATGACTTTTATCATTATTAGCGTAAATAAGATTATTGAAAGTATTGTATCTCGGTAAACGCATATTATCGATAATATTTGTTGTCAAAACTAATACAAAAATTTGAAGTGCATTAAAGTACACGAGCGTAAATGATGTATCAGCTACTTCGATAATACTTCTGAGATTTTCCAAGATACGAGAGAAAAGTACATATATACTGCAGCAAAGATCAATTCGCGAGAACGATTTTATATCACAGCAGTCTCTTTCTAAAAATACAAGTCCTACATCAAAACCAACTGTCAAACTTTACTTGCAAACTGAAAATAATATTGCAACCAGATTGCTTCTAAAATTACACGATGCAAAATATATAACTAAATTAACAGATTTATTTTCATAGCATATATCTCCTTATTTATAAACATGCCTACCATATGGTAAGCAAAAATGATGGCAAATTTTAAATAACAAGTTGACAAAATTACAAAGCAAGATACAAATGATTTATAGTTTTCCTCCCCTAATTTTCAAATGTCAGGTGTCGATACAATTAAATAATGAATATTTGGAACGTCTTAAGTATTATTATATCAATCAAATATATATATATTTCTATCAATATTGTATAATCCTGTGATTTTCTCAAATTATTTGGATTCCAAAATCAACACTCTGTAATTAATGATGAATGTAGGTATATCGATTATTTATTCATTTTCGATGAATTTGATAAGCAAACGACATTCAACAAACTCTGCATGTTACATTTGTTCGCAACATGCACATTTTGGTCTTTATCCCTCTATAGGCGTATATATTTTTTATCGCTTTATCAATAAAAAAAATAGCTAATACGATGCGACTCACATTTCGATGACTATTCTTCTCTGGGTTCCTCGCCGGCAGCATTTTTCCTGCAGGAACCCAATCTGTCCTCGTAGAAGGTCCAAACACTTCGCACTCGCGTTACTATTTTCTCGTTCACGACGTGCGGCGACGCGCAGGTTTTAACTATCACATTTTCGACGCGTTTCAGTAAAGTGCGAGAATCGCGGGAGCTTATTCGCGCGCGAATAAAACCGATGCTCCATTTTCGCGTCGCCGCTTTTTTCAAGGCCACTTCTCGGAGGGCCTCATCGAACGACGATGCGACTTCCCTCGCGACGCACTCAGGAGTCGCCAATATTCCAGAAAATTGGCCACTACATTTTACTACATTTTAAATATATATTTCTCTCAATATTTGACGACGAAGAAATTGCGCAGGAGCTTCGCCGATTTTATTGTCGATTAATATTGTATATATATATGTGTTATATATTATAGATCATTATATATATATATATTCTTACGTTTCATCTATGCATTTACAATTTTGTTGTTTTTATATAACATAATAGTTATTTCGAACGATATTTGTAATTTTGTATAAAGATTAATGTATATGTCGTCTTTATTCTCTTCAACCTAGCTCTTTAAGATTCTAATACATTAAAGATTAAACCCGATTTTATAACTTACTTTAATTGAAGTTTCAATGAAATTATTTTGCATTATTATGAATTTATCAAAACTAAAATTATTATATCTTATGAGAGAGAAATTATTTTAACATATTATAGACCTTCCTATAAAGATATTTTCTTAATTTTAATTTATTATTGCGATGAGTGCCACGCAAAAATCTATGCAAGATAGATCGCATTGATTTCGCAAAGATAGCGATCTCGTGGAGAAAAAGCCAGTCAAAAAATTGCCAGTTATCTTAAATTTCACTCACCGATACCGCTGATTCAGACCTGCAACAAAGAAATAATATTGTTGATTAGATTCAAGTTAAACAAGTATGTTTAACAATTAAAAATATATATTTTCTTTTGCAATAAAAATTTACTTTTTAAATTTACGAAAATAGTTTAGAAGTTATTGTATAAAATTACGCAAAGTTAATTATAAGTAGATAAATAATATACAATTTTGAATTAAAAAGTAAAATCTATAAGCTTATTCTCTTGTGATATACATTCATTATTAAAATAAGAATTTGATATATAAAAACTTATATCAATTAAATTTTTATATTATAATTATTTAATTATTTAAGTATTATCTCTTCTGAAGAGAAGATTCTTTAAAAGTATTAAATTTCAATCGTGAAATATTAAAATAAACATAAAATCTCTTCACCTTCGAGCCGATCCTGATTGGCCCGAACCGAATCCTTCGGTGCTGCAACGCCAAATATAACCACATTTGCATCTGAAACAACAAATAATCATATCAATTAAAATTATAATAACACTAAAGGAAATCTTCCTCTCCAAATTTACAATAATTATGTAATTATTTTGAGATGTTTAAAAATTATTAAATTTCAACCATGAAATATTAAAATAAACACAAAATATCTTTACCTTCGAGCCTGCTGGGCCCGAACCGAATTTTTCCTTGTACTGCAACGCCAAATATATATAATCACATCTGCATCTGAAACAAAAATAATATCGATTAAAATTATAATAATACTGAAGGAGAGCTTCGTTTTCTTCAATTTTTGCCGAAATTTTACAATAATTATTTATGTAATTATTCCTTGGATTCTTTAAAATTATTAAATTTCAACCATGAGATATTAAAATAAACACAAAATATCTTTGCCTTCGAACCTGCTCGAATCGAATCATGAGAAAAAAAAATTACGAGAATTATGAGCCTAATTTTACTCTGACGCGCCGAGGCGGAAGTACGACCGGAAATATGCGAATGCCCGCTTGGAATGCGATCGACAACGGCGAAAAACTCGGAAAATTTTCGCGTCAAAAATCTCGGTTTACTACTCGCGATCTACCTTCGTAAAGTTGTGTGCGTGAATTTTCGATATCTCTCAGGAAAACGAATATCGATTGAAATTCGCGGCCGATGAGGTTCATCTCGCGATCGCGATCCGATTTATAACATAATTAACGATATAATGACGCTAATTAATATACTCACGCTTGTACTTTCGAGGACCGGAGCGACGATGAGCGCCGAAACGTTTATCACGAACAATGAATAATTAGAGAGTGTACTAGATAGCGGTATTAACATTAGATTCCGTTCGAAAATGTGCTCAACTAGAGCGAAGCGCTCGATTGACCAATCAGGACAGAGAGATCCTCGGGCTCTGATTGGTTGGTCGAATTCTGCACTTTGGCGGGCGAATTTTCGAATGCAACCTCTAAGATCTTGTGACGTCATAATGGCGTCACTTACGAATCGATTGAGTGATCGACCCGCGTGAATAAATTACTTTATTTATTATTTCGTGTTGCGCGCGCACGTGTGTATGTGTAATATTTGTATTATATTATTATTTACTTGTATTTTGTGTATATTATATAGTATAAATACAATAAAGAAAATATAATAAAATAAAATATAAATATAAAAATCAATAAAAAAGTATAGATATAAATAAATAATAATTGGTAATAATAATAATGTATATAATATATTCATAAATATTTTTTAGAAATAGTTCTACAAACGTATATTAATATAAATAAATGTATATAAATATAATATATTAATATACGGTTATATAAAACTATTTCTAAAAAATTTTGAAAAGCAAAAATTAAACGTTTGCGCGGTAATTTTTGTTTTCAAAAAATAAAATCAATTTTATATATTTGCATTATCATATATTCCTAACGTCATTCTACGATTTTTATACTATATTTATCAGAAGAAATTTTGCTAAAATATATTCTTTCCTTTTTAGATATATGTACTAATATAAAAACTAAGTCTTTCTAAATCTTTCAACTAAATAATATTTTATTAATAAAAATTAAATTAACTTAAATTAAAATATTTAAATAAAAAAATTAAATATAACATATTAAATCTAACAAAAAAAAATATATATATATATTAACTTAAATACTGATATATGTTCAATTAACAAAATAGTAATTTAGTTGAAAGATTTAGTCAAGTTAATAATTTCTTTTTTCAGTATGCAGAAAAGAGCTTGAATTTTAATATAAATCTCAGATTCTATATTCCGACTTCGAGATAAGCAATAAACCGCTCTTGCCGCAAAAAGTGCGTAAGGAGAGATTGAAAAATAGAGAAGTATTCAATAATCTGTCAACAACACAGACGGCAGTTTCGCGTTGTAAAAATGACGGAATGCCGATTGGAGTGAATCTATAATTCACGACGACAAGTCGATCGTTCCATGTAGAAATACTAATATCTGAGAAATTGTATTGCACTTGCAGCGCAGATCGTATTTTGCTACATGAACAACGACGTCTGTCCATCTGCGCTTTGCGATATACCTTCCCAAAGGAACCGTTGAGTTCAATGTGGTCATGTCGTAAATCAGTAATGCTTTCCCTGGTTTCTCTGCCTCAAAGGACGAAAGGACTTGTCGCATGGGATTGTACCATTCTGATTCCTCCTGGTTCCCTCTTGCTGAAATTTGGCCTTTGATCCTATAATTGTTCCATATCATTATTATATACATTTTTATTTCAGAAGTATTATTACGTACATAATTATTATGTAATTATTATGTATGTATATAGTTATTATATAAATAATTTAAAGCAATCGCGAACTATGCTTCTTATAGAATTTATTTTGAAAATCATAAAGATAAAATTATGAGCTTATATTTCTGTCTCTAGAATCATTTTTTGTAAATGTCACACTGAAAAAATTTATTAACTTGATTAAACTTTTCAATTAAATTACTGTTTTGTTAATTGAATATAAATTAATATTTAACTCAAATATATGTTTGATTATAGATTTAATATGTTGTACTTAATTTAAATATTTTTATAAGTCAAATAATAATTTTACAGTTCAATTAACATTTCAATTCATTCAACATTTGATAATTTAATTAACAAAATAATATTTAGTTGAAAGATTTAGTCAAAAGTTAACACATTTTTTAGTACACAAATCACACTAACATTATACATGAAATTTAATCATGACGGAGTAAATCCAATAATTCGTTGTTCTTATTGACATTATTTCATACATATATAGGAAATTATTAAAAATGTCCATTAAAAGTAATAGAGCTTTTGGGCAATAAAACGAAATAACTATAGGAATAAAGCAGAATATTCTGAAAGCATAGCGGCAGACGAGATAGCTACGTTTAATTCGAACGAGTTTTCTCGCGTTCGCAATTTTCGTTATTTTGCATGTAATGAAACGCATTAACGATGTAGATTGCAAGCCGCGCATAAAGTGCACTTCTTCTATGAACATGGAAAACAAAATCGATGTGTGTTAATATTCAACACATTACCTGCTCGCCTCGATCAAACTTCTCGTAATCAAAGGGGCTAAACGCAGCTGCGCCGTTTGCCGATTAATCAATGTCATAGTTTTATTCTGACGTAAGAATACTTAATTTTTCGTACGAGTATGTAGATACTTAGACAGATTTCCCACGGCGTAGAAAGAAAATTTATTTTATGAGCCAACATTTATTTTACGGAAATAGTTTTCGATCAAAGTTAACTTCAACTTCGTGAGAGATAATTTTCTTAAATATGAAAAAATGTCGTAGAATGATGGAGTTACAATCGACGATTTAAATCATGCGATGATTTCATTGTTACTACTTTAATTCTTTAATATTATTATTTTATCTTCATTAATCACTTATTATTGTCGACATTTAAAAAAAATTTTAAGAGAATTTTGTTGTTCATAAAAAAATGTCATATTAAAAAAGAAGAAACGAAGAATTTGTTTATTAAATTAAATGTAAATTTTTATATTAATATTAATATTAAATCATAATAAATGGTGAAATATTACATAAAATATGGTGCATCATAATACTTCTGTAAAGAAAATTTTCTTCTGATACTGTTGAAAATATATTCTATCTGTATGCATGCATATAAAAAATTAATAATAAAATATTTTTAAAATGTATAAGAGATTTATCTAATTGTAAGACTTATATTTACTCCATATAATTTGAGTAAACTTTTATCTCTTGATAAGTTTAAATCTCTTCAAAGAAATTCTATATAAAAATAAATATCCATTAAAAAGTATTTATTATGCGTATTATATATATATATAACGTTAAATAAAATAAATTTGCTATTGCCCTATCAATTCCCCATCATCGATTTTACATTACAATTTTACCTATAGAATAAATTTTGTTTTTATTTTTCAGAAGCTCCAGTTATCAAACTTGGTGGAAGATACCGTCATGTTGCTTTCATCATCGCGATTGAATAAATCAAAAGGAAGAGGATGTTTGCAAGAATCATACGTTTAATCATAAATCTTGTATAATATAAATGCGCGTATTTGTGTAAATTGTGATGTAATTAAGGATAATATTGAGTATTAAATAAGAGCATGCATGTATCAAACTATCGAGCGATAGGCTTTAGAGTAAAAAATGCAAATATTATAAATGCGTCTTCATCAATGGCCTGTTCACGATGTATTTATTTTTAATCACAATAAACGGCGCATTTGTAATATATACCGTTGTTATTATTCAAATCTTAAATTGTCATCTACTATTTTTTCCTTGCAATTTTTAATTTTGTATATTATTCTTTAAAAAATATCTTAATCTGATAATAACTAAATTTACAATTTATAATATTATATATGAATAAAATATATTGATGTTTTGATAATATATATAATAATATAATGTTTATATATAATAATTATTTATTTACTGCTTCAAAGAAAATTTCGCACAAAGATTTATGACACTTTACAATATCGATATATAACTTTTGATGCAACAAAGATTAATAAGACAGTATTTTATTTCGTTGTTTATTTCGCTATAATACCGATAACGATATGATGACAAAGCATTACAGCATTCGAATGCGTCATTAAAACCCATTGATTCTGCTATTACAACTTTTTCCCGAGCACGACCGCGGAACTTTGCAATTTATTTCCCAAGTTCCTTCCATTCCTATTTACGATCGTGATATCAATACTATCGATTCCATACGACGACAATACATGATAACGATATCAATTTAGACCGAAACATATAAATATAACTAAAAATATACGGCTAGAAATTGCGATAAAAATCGACAAATATTTCACACAATATATTGGATATAAAAAACAATATTGAAAAAAGAGAATAAAGAGGAATTTTTTAAAAATTTATAAAAAAGATTAATTGTAAAAGACTACAAATTGTGGGAAAAAATTGACAGGATATTAAACTTTTCTGCGTTACACAGATCAGTTAATAGGAAACTGAGCTGCACCACGCTCCTTTGACAGGAGAGCTAAAATTGATTTGGTTGCCAACGCGAGAGAGTAAAACAGCCCTGCTAGAGGCCCAAAGCGAGGTCAACACACTTTCAGAAAGCTGAAACCAAGGCGGAAGTGCATCCTTTCATGCACGTAATGCATTCTCCGAACGGTATAATGATTGCCGAAAGGCCGAGCTTTTTGCCGAGATTGAACCGCAATTAAATTTAATAATGTCTTTCTATAAATATATGGATTTAATATATATTATTATTATATTTAATTTTATTATTATTATATGTATATTATATTTTTCATATTTTATAAATTATTTTTAAAAACATTATATATTTTTTCATTTTTATGTAAATTTTTCCACTCTGCGATTTGCATCTTTTTCATTCTCAATAGAACACTTTTTAATATAGGAAAATATAAAAAATTTGTACTCTCTAGTTTACACTGATACCTATGCAACGAAGATTAGTAAGTATACAATATTCTGAAAATATCTCGACAATTTAATTTTACTTTGCAAGTTATTAAAATATTTATAGATTTTGATTTTATAGATTTATCGATTTTATTATTATTTTAATAAAAATCAATTTGAAAAATAGATATCAAAAAATAACCATAAATTCATAGAAAAATAAAGCAGTAATAAAACTGTTAAAATCAAAATTATATTCAACATATCGCTATTGCTAGAATAGCTTTCTGCAAAATTAGACACGAATTGCTGTGAAAAGGCTTCTCTATACTTTTTTAATATTTATTAAAAATTGCTTTCGGAAAATTAATATAATCTCTGCATGTGATGCATCTAATCTTTGACCAAAGAAAATATGAATTTAATATCTTTGAAGCGTCTACGTCAAGCTCGCCATCAAAGTGAACAAGAAAAAGACGATCTTCCGATCCTGTATTAACATCCTATCCTATCTTAATATGGCTTTAACATATTGTGTACTTAATTTTGCATCGAATGGTTAATGAAGAACGTTCAAAGGCATCTTCGGAATATATCGATTCACGAGAATTTTATTAATAGAGATTATTAATCCTTTATTGGAGAGCCATCATGAAATCTTATTCCATATTTAGTTTCAAGCAGATTTTACTGCGACAGATATATTATTATTAGAGAATTAGTATGGTGCTGCAATAATTTTTACAATGTTAAATTTGACAAATTAGTAAAGCTCTGAATTCGAAATCAAAATTCTAATTTATCAATACAATGTTTTAGATTTTATATGGCCGAAAGTCATTAGAAGAGAATAAAGTCATGAACGTAGACTGAAACTCTAAATGATTCAGACCGAATTGTTCGTCGGAGTAGAACGTGTTCTAAATCAACCTAATTTAAGATGCGAACCGAAAACACGCGATATGTGTATATGAACACGTACGTTGATTTAATCATGTGCGACGACGCATTTGTCATGAGAACGTTGCCTAGCAACGTCTCAATGAAATTTCATTGATATCGGAAGCACGATTCTCGATAAGTGCGAAAGGAGATATGTATGTGCATCTCGTGGTACTTCCGAAATTAAAATTAAGACGTGACGGATTCTCAGGAATATTATCTAATGAACGTACTATTCTACAGGATTAAATATACGAATATGAATAATGATCAGTTATTGATTCGTGGGCGAGTTTTTTTCATTTATCGATTGCCTATTTTATAATAGCTTATTTTACATCATTTTTTATATTATAATATAAGTTATAATTTATTTTATAATTCGGAGATTTTATCTATCAAAATTATACATCTCTTTTTCTCTACATTGCATTCTTTTCTTTCAATAATACAATATAATAAAAATATACAAAAAAAAAGAAAACAGATGTCGAGATTTATATATAAATTATCATATAATAAAAATATACAAAATATACAATATAATAAAAATATACAAAAAAAAGAAAACAGATGTCGAGATTTATATATAAATTATAAGATATAATTGTAAATATTTGTATATAATCTGTAAATGCCGAATGTTTCATTTAATGCATCAGAAGTTAATGTATCGGAATAATTATTATTCAATTGATTGATTGTTAATCGCAATGAAAAATATATTGAAATATAAGGAATGTATATTACGAATCATTGAGAAAATAAAAATAATTATTCTTCGAAAATATGATACGTAACAATAATTTCAAATTTCTATCGCGTCAATTTCTACTTTGAATAAATAAATTGTGCAAAATAAAAAAAAACTGCTATTAAATTTAATATCATTTTAAGAAACTTAGATTTTTGTATTCAATAAAAACGTTTCATGAAAATATAAGACACTCTGCTCCTTCAGAGAAATATTATATAATCTACGAAAGGGTGGTAATTTAAAAAAAAAAAAATATCAAAGAAATTGTTTTCCCCTTCCCAGGGGAAGAGTCCCATCTATGTTGTGACGAGGATTAATTTACAGGAATGAACCCAAATCAGTCATGTAACGTCCGTTCGGTCGTCTTCTGTCGCATTAATCCCCGTGGAACACGGAGGGTTGAGGGGTGACATTTATAAGCCGTTGGCGAAATGAAATGGAAATTGCGATCGCGAGTGACGAAAGTGCGAACTCGTCTTTCATCCGAGTGAAAAATGCAAATTAGGAAGAGTTCCGTCGTAAAAAACAAGAGCGAGACGATTATTAATGAACGCGTTAAAGCGACGACGGCCAATATTGCCAATATTGCTGTACCGTGGTCGTTCGTTCGCGTTTCTACAGCAATAAATGACGACGGAACGGAAATTCACCGTTTCTTAATTATCGATATTCGCTTTTTCAAACGATGCGAATGAGAGTTCTACACTTGAAACACTAGAGGAGAGAGAAAGAGAGCTCTTCGAAAATTTGCAATAATATTTCATCTAAAGGCAAACATAATTTTACTATCATTAACATAATGAAAAAATTGTTAAATTAAACTTTTTAGAAAATCAAATTTCTCAGATGCCAGAATTTAAGAAATAAATTTATTTATATTATATGTATTATAAATGCAAGATTTTAATAAAATTTTAATTTAAAAAATAGTTAGACAAAAATAGTTAGACTTTTTAGAAAATCAAATTTCTCAGATGCCAGAATTTAAGAAATAAATTTCTTTATTATATGTATTATAAATACAAGATTTTAATAAAATTTTAATTTAAAAAATAGTTAGACTTTTTAGAAAATCAAATTTCTCAGATGCTAGAATTTAAGAAATAAATTTATTTATTATATGTATTATAAATGCAAGATTTTAATAAAATTTTAATTTAAAAAATAGTTAGACAAAAAAATAGTTAAGACAAAATATTTATTTTTTAGAAAATCAAATTTCTCAGATGCCAGAATTTAAGAAATAAATTTCTTTATTATATGTATTATAAATGCAAGATTTTAATAAAATTTTAATTTAAAAATAGTTAGACAAAAATAGTTACACAAAAATAGTTAGACTTTTTAGAAAATCAAATTTCTCAGATGCCAGAATTTAAGAAATAAATTTCTTTATTATATGTATTATACATGCAAGATTTTAATAAAATTTTAATTTAAAAAATAGTTAGACTTTTTAGAAAATCAAATTTCTCAGATGCCAGAATTTAAGAAATAAATTTATTTATTATATGTATTATAAATGCAAGATTTTAATAAAATTTTAATTTAAAATTGCAAAGTAAAAACTCATAAGCGATGTAGCGACGATAAAAGAAAAAAATAAATTGATTAAAGAATCACGTTACAAAATTATATTCGCTCAATAATTGTTGTTTACATTGCCATTATCAATGTATTATTATGACATTATCTACTTAAATTACGCCATTCATCAAGAAACAAACGCGGTATTAATTTACCAAACAGGCAAAGAGACAGAGAAAGAGAGACAGTAAGCATAAATGTGTGCGTAACTATATGATATATTCAATATATTGAATTGCATTCCGGAAATGAAATATTACTGTTTAGAAAGCGAACTTTGCAGCTACAAATTATAGTTTGAAATCGTATAGCAGTCCTATGTTTATATCGTTAAAGGAGACTGGATTCCAATTTGATCGGAGAATCGCGTTACATCATTTATTCATATGATTCTCTGCCCTCTCTGCCGTCATTATTGTTGCATTATTATGCTACATCTCAGTGAGATGATGGCAATTGAATCTATTTCCAAATAATGTGGTTTGTAACGTTACGACCATAAATTGCATTAATATTCTCTAATACGTAA